TCATTGGTGTTCTTATTTCATACTGTGGAAGGTCTATTCATTCCTACGTGAGTACTGTGGAGTGGAAATGTATAATAAATTTGCATTGGTGTCTCGGATTTGCATGAGTCTCTGCTTTCACTCAGTTCACGGCTCATAATTGGAAGAGTTCTCAGCTTCGCCTTCGGTGCCACGTGGATTAGAAGTGTGTTAAGCATCTGTCCCCACAGCGGGGTACCCAGTCTGGATCAGTCTTGTTCACTTCCCCCATCCCCAGCTAGAATTTCTCTTTGTCTGGATTCTGGTGTTCACCTGATCTAGGCAAAGGTGGGAGATGGCTAGATCGTGGTGCTCACTGTCAGGGCTCCGCCTGGAGTGCCCCAGCTCACACCCCATTCTGCACAGTGGGGGCACTCTGGGAGCCCAAGGTCTCCTCTCCCTGGAGGCGCAGTTCCCCTCCTCCAGGCTCTGGGACCACTCTTGGTGGGCAGCAAGTGCTGTGCTGTTTCCAGGTGTTTATTCCCTCTTCTCTTTAGCACCCTTCAAATCACCACCTTATGGTGATTGCTGAGTCTCACCCCTCCTTAGACAGGGGAGACCCTAGGTCACTGCGTGCTCAGGCCTGACACCCCAGACTTCTGCGTGCCAAGGTGGAATCCATGCATCTAGACAGAGGTCAGAAGCCACAGCTGCAGAGGAGTCTGTTCAAGTTTGTTGGAAATAAAAACATTTTAAAGCACGTGGTTAAAATCTTACCCCAAGTTCCTAATCCAAAGGAAAAGCAGCCCAGGGCAGAGGCATCTCAGAAACTGTCAGATGTCTTCTTCTGCCAGGGTAATCTTGCGGATGACAGTGGCACCCAGCACCATGGTCATTGGCACCAATGTGGAAGAGCTGCTTCCTTCATAGGGGTGCTGGGTGTTCACTCAGAGGATGTAAATGAAAACCAGAAATGCACAGAAGGGTCCTGAGGAGAGACTTCCTCAACAAGCCACTGCCACTGAGCCCACAGTCTGGCCCTGGGGCCACTCTTGAGGTGGTGCCCCATCCCCGTTGCCATGCACATTGTCTGCACAGTGGCTTCTAGAATCCATGACCAGCTGTGAGGTCTGTGACTGCTGTTTCTCCAGTGCAACATTTTTCTATTATCTACAGGATGAGTGCTCTGAGCTAGACAAGACTATGCGGAAATTCTCTACAGTGTCCCTTCAGCTGCATACTTTGGCTTGTGCTTGCTATTCATTTCCTTTCTTCCATGTCTCACCGTGGGCCTCATGAGAGTGCATCATTATGGGTTCAAGTTATGAGGACAGAGACTTCTCCATAGGTCCTCGTGCTCTTGCAATGAGGGGCTCCTTCAGGGGGAGAAGATGGGAGAGAAATATGCTGGGTTTCATCATTAATGCATGAATAAGCCAGGACTTTACCCTAGGTTCTGGGGCCTCTGGTCCCCGCTCTACTGAAACACACACCTGAAAGGTTCATACCAAGGAGCTGACGGAGTAAGTCTTTGATAACCTGCTTACAATTGAAGTTCCTCACAATACAGAAGCTAAGATTCACAGAAGCATGTTCATTTTATTTTAATGATCTATACTTTCCTTCCCTTTTTCTATCGTGGCATTATATTAAGTGGGGAAATACTGGCAGTTTGTCTGGTTCATACAGCAGTTACAGTGCACACAATTATGAAGCCCGAGAGAAAAATGAAGCCCAGTGGTCACCATGTTCTGCAGAGCCTGGGCCCTGGAGTCTCAATCCTCCTGTCTGGCCCTGGGTCCCAGGATGGTGGCCACCCTGGGTCTTCTTGCCATTTCTCAGTCTGCCGTGGCTGTTCCTCACACACACCTACCTGTTTTTGCTGCTTGAGTTTGCTGCCAATGGAATGCTCTTCACTCTTGTGTGCATGGCTGTCATCCTCTCCATTCACACCCCTGGCGAGCTGCGGACTTCTTGGAGACTTCCCGAGGCTATCCCTCCCAAATTGAGGTCCCCGGCATGCTCTGCTCTCTAAAAGCCCACTGTCTTGCCCTTTGAAACATCGTTGACCATCTGTCAGGGTTCTTGTAAATTTTTTACTGCCTGTGCTGATCCACAAGCTCCTCCAAGGCAGAGGCTTGTTCTATGGGGTTATTTCTTAGACCCTATAGCTAGAACAAACTAGTGTTGTTCACAAATATTTGTTTGTCACGGCCTATAAACTTCCATGATGGCTGGAAACTCTGTAGGGTGAGAGTGCAACCTGCACACCAGCTGGAATCCACACGTGCCCACGTGGCCAGACATCAGACATCACAGAAGGGCTCTTTAAATAGCCACACCCATGTCCACTGTGTGCAGAGTGCTGGCTTCAGAGAAGGTGTGGCTCAGTCACCGCTTGGGAAGCCTTACCATGCTGTGCAGAAGAAAGACAGGATCCCAGCTGAAATCCATCAGAATCGGATTCCTTCTGAAGCCTTTGTGAAGAAACTGCCCGTTAACACTAGAGAAGAAAGCAGAGAAAAAAAAAAAAAAAAAAAAAAAAAAAAACCTTGACTCTGAAGATCTGCAGACTTTAATGCAGAGGGATGTGTCCTGAAAAGCCAGGGAAGTGGTGTCTCAGCTAACAGGCAGATAACAGAGCGAGAGGCAACAGCACAGCATGAAATACAGGGGACATCGGGCTCCCATGTGAGAAGGCTGGAAGACCTCAGGTAGAGGGACAGAAGGGGAAGTGGCAGATATGAGAAGCATGGAAAATGCACGTTCATTGCTTTGACTTGTCTTCAAGAGGCACCTGCCAAGGGGGTCGACTTGCGGGAGCACGGGTGGGAGCAACTTCCAGGGGGCAACATTCTGGAGGATCAGGTGGAAGATCAAGAAATGAGAGACAAAACCACAGAGGGCCCAGTGTGCAAACATGTGTAAGCACATTAGAGCAAGCAACATGAAGCCAGAAAACTTAGCTGTGCAAAGGAGTCAAAGAAGCCTGGGCATTACTCAAGTAGCCTCCATCCATGAGAGCCTCTGGAGCTGCTTGTTGGGGTCCCCACGGGGCCAGGATGGCACAGCAGGAGGAGTCACAGTGCAGCTCTCAGCGGGCAGAGACCACCCCACCCCCAGGGAGGCACACACAGTGAAAAGGGCCGTGTGGTGTATGGAGAGGGTTAGATTTATTACAGTGAAATTGTCCTTTGTGCATTAAAAAAAAATGCCAAGTGCTCATTCTACAAGCTCATATGGTCTATCTTAAGTTTTTTAATAGGATTAACTCATGTTCTAAAACTGCATAACCAGCTATATTAAAAGACCAAATAGTGAGTCTAATTACTCTTTTATTGTATAAGCATTTATAGGACAGAGTATAAAGCATCAAATAAAAATAAGTTGTATTAGAGATGAATGCTATATATATATATATATATATATATATATATAACACATCATGCAAATAGAGCATATGGATAAGTGAACTGTAAAAGTATTCAAAATAAATGCTTCATAAAACTCACAAAATTAATTTGCAAAGTGAAAATGAGAGCTATCTTTGAAAGTTCTACAGCTGATCGGTGATGAAGCACTTCAGCAGGGCCTACAGGGAGGCCCCTGTGGACTGGCATTTAAATATTTACAGTTGCCTAAAAGGCAGCATCAGAATAAGGGAGAGGAAGGAACTGCAACCCAGCATTTCCTCTAGGCCTTTTGTTCTCAGATCTCCTATGTGGATCTTCTAGAGAGGATGTTCTGACAGGCTGCTTCCTCTAAGGACTTCAACCCTTTAACTGCTTACAAGCTCTGCAGTCTGTTTCCAAGAAAGCACGTCACGGTCGGTGGGGCAGCTCACATCGGGCAATCATGGGTAGGGGGTGCTGCTGCCGGACCAGTGTCGGCCTGTCTGAGTGATTGTCTCACTCCCCTCTTTCAGAGCAGATGATGGAGACAGACATTCCAGCTGAGGGTCCCAGGACTCCCAAGTGGGATTTCTGAAATCTGTATATATTTTCTCATTGAAATTTTGGGGGCAATTTTAGGCCAAAAGTGAAGTATCCCAAGTGAAGTGTCACTATCAATATTGAGCAATGTTTCACACTTCCCCGACTGGCTGAGACACCTATGTGAACCACACACCTGCTGGTCTCGGTACCATCCCACAGGGAGCCCATGATGTCTCTCTGGCTTCCTCTACTGCCCTAACTGCTTTCTGTCGGTGTCCAAATCGGGTCCATTGTCTAATTTCTTTATATCCCTCTGTGGAATTTGACCCCAGTGAGAGCAAAGTTGTGCCCCCTTTACTCACAAACCCCATTACCTGAGAAAGCCTACATGCAGCTGAGCAAAATAATTTTTTGAATGAGTAAACAAATAACATATTTTAGTGAACCTGTTCTTTGTTACTAAAACGTGAGACAGAAATGAGTTTGCAGCACGCATATAAGTGGTGCCTTTGCATCCATATTTCGTAACAGTGATGTTTAAAAGAAAGGGGTTTATTTTTGCATATTTTCTTTTTATTTGAAGACCAAAGCATATTTACACATCTTCACATAGATTATTCTGACTTACATATTTTGAATCATGTTCATGTACCAACTCCCCACAATAAATATAATCATGTACTGCCAACAGGTACTAATAAAATAGAAATTAAAAGTGGAGGAGGAAAAGTATAACTTGTATTGTTTATAGTGAAAAGCACGCAGACTAAAACAGAATCTGTGTTGTGGTCTTAGTGGCAGCCGTGGCAGAGAAAGTCTCGAAAAGTGGAGGGGATGGGTCTTTTAATCCCACCACTTGTGTTCTCAGCGTGTCTGTGTTGCCAAGTGGAGCCTTTGTTTGATTAAATAAATCAAATATCTTTCTCTTAGTTCAAACTACAATTTCCTCCTGGCTTTTGTAATTAAATGTTGCTTAAACTGAGTGTCTTTTGAAACCATTGATGTAACCGGTGATCAGACTACGAGGAAGAATGTGTGAACCCGTGGAGCTAACAGTGTCCATTGTGCATATGTTTAATGGCCCATTTGTTTTTTTCCCATTTTCAGAAATCGAAAAGGGTGGCTGCGGTGACCCCGGAGTCCCTGCCTATGGGAAGCGGACTGGCAGCAGCTTCCTCCACGGGGACACACTCACTTTCGAATGCCAGGCAGCTTTCGAGCTGGTGGGCGAGAGGGTCATCACCTGCCAGCAGAATAACCAGTGGTCAGGCAACAAGCCCAGCTGTGTGTGTGAGTGCCCTGCCCGCCCGGAACAGCGGAAGGATGTGTCTCCTAGCCAGGCCAGGCGACCTCAGTCCTCCCACCTGCATTCTCCCCTCAGCCTTGCTCCTGTCTGTGACAGAGGCAGCTGAAAGGGCTGTTAGGAAGGACATCACACAGGCCACTCGCTCTGCACGAGCCTCGGACAAACGTCCTGGGCAGACACTCACAGGGTCTTGGAGACACTGTGACCGCCTGCTGCCCTGCACTGCTTCAACCCCAGTGGGTCCTGCCCATGAGCCTGGAGGCCAACAGTGTTCAGAGTTTGGAATAAACTTTCTCTCTCTTGAGTGTAGTGTTTTAAACAGAGGGAAGATTTTACAGCCAGTTTACAAAGACTCTTTAAAATTTTTAAAATAAATATAGCAATGACTAGAAAGCATATGTGTAAACATGTGCCGTAAGGTACAAAATCACACTCTAAATATACTTTGCGTATTTGTTCCTTGCAAAACAAAATACATGTGTGTATTTTCTAAAGTGTGTATTCTTAAAAGTAAAATTTCCAACAGATTTGTAAGTTACTCAACTTGCACATTTTCTGATTTTTCCTGCTATGTATTTTTTTTTTAGTTTTCCTTCTAAATAGGAAATATAAATAATTTGAAAAATGCACATTAAAGGAAAATATAAGGTAATAAGTGGCCAGAGAAGAGCAGGACAATTGTTCCTGCGACTCAGAAATGCATGATCATATGATCAGTACCCTCTGGAGGCAAGAAATAGTAACTGGAGGTCATCATAATCAGCACACATTTTTAAACAATTTGTTAGGGTAATTAAAAAAAAAATCAAAACCCATGCCCAAGTACGAGGAGGCTCTGGTTGTGCCACACTGGACAATGGAGTGGGGGAGGAGAGCCCCATTCCTGGATGACCCCTCCGAGCGGCCCCCACCCTGTTCTCGGTCCTCCCCCCATGGCAACGCCCTGGATGCCAAGCTGGGTGATGGTATTTCTGTGTCTCCGCAGTCTCCTGCTTCTTCAACTTCACGGCATCCTCTGGCATCATTCTCTCGCCCAATTACCCTGAGGAGTACGGCAACAACATGAACTGTGTGTGGCTGATTATCTCAGAGCCGGGGAGCAGAATCCACCTCATCTTCAATGATTTCGATGTGGAACCTCAGTTTGACTTCCTTGCAGTCAAAGATGATGGCATTTCTGATGTAACTGTCCTTGGCACCTTTTCTGGTAACGAAGTGCCTGCCCAGCTGGCCAGCAGTGGGCATATAGTGCGCCTGGAGTTCCAGTCCGACCACTCCACCACCGGCAGAGGGTTCAACATCACCTACACCAGTACGTGGCCACACGTGGAGTTCAGGGCTCAGGGGTTGTGTGAGCATTATCGATGGGATAAGAGTAGCAGACCTATAGAGCATTATGTGGATAACCATCTGGATAACAAAGTGTGTGTGTGTGTGTGTGTGTGTGTGTGTGTGTGTGTGCACGCGTGCATGTGTGTGCATGTATGTGCATGTGTGTGTTCATGCACCAGTGCTGAGCAACTGAAAGGTGTCCTACTTGCTTTCATAAATCCTTAAGGCAAGTTCATGGTCTGTTAGTACCTGCCTTGGGTACAAAATTGCCATGAAGAAGAGTAAGAATATAATAGTGGAACTTGCATTTTTATCTGTCTTGATTACGTGTCACGCTAGGGGCTTGTACATCTCAGTATTTAGGAACTGCATATGTCTTATCTTTTCCTCTGGTTTTCCATCTATCTGTCCTTTCTTCCTTCCATCCTGCCACCCAACACTTGCCCATTCAGCCACCCGTCCTCCCCTCTACCTCTCCTCATCCATCCATCTGTGCAGTCTTCTTCCTCATCATCTATCCATCCATCTCTGCAGACACCTGCCCATCCATTCATTCTTCCACCTGTCTTCTTTCTTTCCTTCACCCTTCTATCTATGTATATGTAATGTAGGGAAAAAGCCCTGAGGTGTTAGATGTCAAGGACCAATAATCCAAATACCAGCTCTTAGAGATACTGATGAATTTTGAGAAGAGACATAACTTCTCTTTGCCTTAATTTCTTCATTGTTCAAATGGATGTTGTATAGGAAAATGTATTTAAATACAATTAAAGGTTATGATGCAAGATAATAGCATATAAATACTACTAATGTAAGTTGTACTAATATAATTAGTATTAATTTATCATTTATCTACTTCTCCCCTAAGTATTTATCTTAGTTACTTTTCTATTGTTGCTGGGACAAAATACATGATGCCCAAAATTAGGGAAGGACAGTTTTATTTAGCTCAGTTTGTGGTGATTTCAGTCCATACTCAGCTGGCTCCGAGGCAGAATGGTATATGGCAGAAGCAACATTTCAAGTCAGCAGAAGACAGCAAAATCAGCCAGAGCAAAAAGGGAAGAGCAAGCCGAGAAGTCTCTTTCTGTCCCTTATACTGTGTGTAGGCCACACCTACCATGAGGTGTGGCACTCACACCCGCAGTCCCAGACTGGACCATGAGTCAATCACAAACTTTAGAAGCTTGACTCCATGACTGCATGATGCTTTGGGGGGACATCCAAACCCAGCCACAAAAGTACTGTGCTTAGAATTTGCTAACAGGTATTTCATGTGGTGATAAAGTGACTCAGGGTGATAGGCTTACTATTCCTCACTCCATTAATAAAGATCAGGAAGCTTCTAGCATCAGATCATGAGCCTAAGGGCCAGGGCTGCAGCCCACCCAGATGTACCTCATCCCACATCCATCCCCAGCGGGTGGAATGTAAAGAGCTGTGTAAACTACGGCTGTCAGTGCCATCTCCCCCCATGGATAGGATAGGATAGACTGATAAAAATGTGTTTGTCTATGAATGATAGTAACTGAAATTTGGAGAACTAAAGGCTATGTTAGTACTTTCCATTCCTTTCTTTTCAATGCGGGTAATAGATTATCTGCCTCTAACAGTTTTTCCCTTTTCCTTTTCAGCATTTGGGCAAAACGAATGCCATGACCCAGGCATCCCTATAAATGGGCGGCGTTTTGGTGACAGGTTCCTACTTGGGAGCTCTGTTTCCTTCCACTGTGAAGATGGATTTGTGAAGACCCAGGGGTCAGAGTCGATCACCTGCATCTTGCAGGATGGGAATGTGGTGTGGAGCTCCACTGTGCCACGCTGTGAAGGTGGGCCTGGCCTTTGTGGTCCTCTCCACCACAGCCCTTCATGTACCTACAGACAAGCATGTCATGTGCTAATCTCTAGGCTTCCACAGGAATGGCAAAAGGGCCTCAACAAGAGACGTTTATTCCTGCAGGGGTGAGGGCAGGGGCTGGGCAGGTTCCTCCAGTGACTCTGAAGAGTGAGCTGCAGAATAGATAAGGAACTGCAGTGCTCGCAAAGCGTCATCACGCAGGGGCGTGGATGGCACGAGGCAGGTGTAAGGAGCACACACACACATTAGTATCTTAGGGTAACAACTTAAGAAACCTGAAAGGAACATTCATACCAAAATGTGAATCATGTTATTGGGGAAATTGTTCCCCTTTAGTTTATTTCTATTTTCTCAGTTGTCTAAAGTCAACATGTTTCTTTTTAATGAGTAGTGGAAAAGAAATGTGCAAATTGAGAATTACTCTCCTTTGGGGAATGTTTGGCTGTGTCCACACCACACCCAGGATTTCCAAGTGGTCCCAAGCGCAGCCAGGACCTCAGTGCAGAGATGTTGAACCTGGGCACTGCCAAGCCCCAGCCTGCCCCTGGCTGATCCTCAAGTCCTGCACCGTCCTTTCAGGGAAATGCATCTAGAGAGGCCGTCTCTGCCTCAGCTGCCAGTGCACATGGACAGAAAGGTGTCCTGCTCACTTTCCTAAATCCTCATAGCCAGTGGTGGCAGTCAGCACTGCTGTGGGTATAAAACTGACATGAAGAAGGGGAAGCCAATCAGAGTGGCAGTTGTTTTTACCTAGGTTAACTATGTGTTTTAACTGTATAATTTGCACTTCTACATTTTATGAAATATTAATAAGTGGGCCATGTTTAATGCTCTGTGCTAAGTAAATATACACCCAAGCTAAGCTCAGGTACAAGGCGAATAGTGGTGCCCGCTTAACCTTGTCTGTACACAGCGCTCTAGCCAGGCACACCACTGCTGACTGCAGCCTGAGCGGCTTCATGAGAAACATGCTTTCAGTAAACATCCTCTGCTCTCCTCCTGTCACTGTGCCCTTGCCAGTGGCAGGCTGTTCACAGAGCATCCCGAGCTGTAGGACAATGCCTGAGTGCTGCCTGTGCAGGAAAGACCTTTGGAAGAGCCAGGGATATAAACCAGGTCTCACGTTAGCTGTTAGGAAATGCCCTCACCCTCTCCTCTTCTCCTCACCCCCTCTCCTCCCAACTCTACCTGTTCCCCTCTGCTATCCAGCTCTCTGACAGCTTTAACAATAAAAAATTCTCTGTGAGGAAGAAACAACGGCACAGATGTATCTTCAAAACTGGCAATCTTGTAGTAAAAATCTTAAATACAAGAAAATGACCCAAATAAAAAGTGGTAAATGTAAGGAAGTACCACAGGGAATACTTGAGAGAAGCTGAAGAACAGAGAGGAGACAGGGACACAGTCGCCTAGAGGTGCACAGGGCGTCCTGAGTCTCCCACTGCCAGAACCTCAGAGCTAGGAAAGCCCACAGAGGATGAAGCCTGTGGGGTGCCGCGAGGGGGCGCCCATCTGACTGCTCCTTTCCTTGCTGGGTGTTTCCCCACAGCCCCCTGCGGCGGACATCTGACAGCCTCCAGTGGGGTCATTTTGCCTCCCGGATGGCCAGGCTATTACAAAGATTCTTTGAACTGTGAATGGATCATTGAAGCAAAACCTGGACATTCCATCAAAATAACCTTCGACAGGTGAGATAAAACATTTCTTCTCCTGTTCACACCTGAGTACCCCATCTGTCTGTCTTTTCAGCAAATGGATCTCTTTTGTGTAGAAGGATCCAGAGGACCTCTGCATGGGGGAGGAGCGGTTCTGCACGGATAGTCCTGTCCTGGGGTGGCTCTGGCCCACAGCTGGCTTTCTGTCCCTGCACTGGGGGAAAGGGGTCCTGGGCGACCTCATCCCCAGCTGGTCCTCTGGACTTGGGGCCTGCAGTGGACTTCGTTCTGTCTGCTCAGTGCCCGATGGCCCAGGGAAGAGCTCTTTCCCTCAGTCCCATCCCTGCCCTCCGTGGCAGCACAGGAAAGTCCTTCCGGTGGGGGTGGCAGGCCCTGGGGCCCTGGAGGCAGCAGGTAGCAGATGCAATGGGTTCCTTGGCTAAGTTTCCCGGGGTGGTGCAGCTGTGGCCACCATGGCTTAGCTCCTTGGCAGGGCTGTAACAACCTGTAGGATGAGTGACCTGTCTGAGCTCTGCGTGAGGAGATGTTTTCCCCTTTGGGTTAACTTTGAAATCAGTTCCTTGATGAAAAACTAAACATGGTTTGAAACAAACCATGTGATTTAAAACCTAAAGCAGCATCTGCAGTTGAAGGCGCAAACTCTAATTTCAGAAGCACATCAAGCTTTTCTAAAGAGAGCCTTCTCCTCAGCCAGCTCTCATTCAGGACATTATCTGACCTCAGGGCAGGTGAACATTGGTCTATCACGTCCTTGTCGATCTTTATTAATTTCCTAAAAGTCAGTGATAGCCATCAGAGCAGAAATACGTTTTTAGGAGAAGTTGTGTTATCCTTAGTAACTTTTTATTTGAATTATTATTCATGCTATTATTACTTATCTCTGGGGTGATAATATTCTCAAGTGTGACAATTCAGCCAAACAGCGAGAGTGGATGCCTAAAAGTAATATTTACCAATGGGAAAAAAACCAAGTCTATCAACATTCAGTAAACTAAATTGTTTCCTGTTGATGTCAACTCTGTTTAAAACTGGGTGAGGAGCAGAATGATTAAATCACTGCACAAACACAGTAAGTTTACATTCTCCTGTGGCACGACCTATTCTCAGTGGCCTGAAGAGCTACAATCGTGTCACTTTTGCCCATCTGGTCTTCAGAGTGTAATTTCAGGGTGGTAGTTTGCAAAATTCTGGGCGTTGATGATTTTGTTCTCTGCATGTCCTCATTTAGTAGGAGGAATAGGACCCAGAGTCCACAGGGCTCAGGGGTAGGCGAAGCCCCTGGAAGGGTGTGTTTGTCACAGACTGAGGGCCTTGCCCCGTGCCAGCTGCCACATCATGAAGAGCCCCTAGGGCTTTCTGTTTCTGAGGTGGCACTGGGGAATCTCAAGCTGCTGGATGCACAGCTGCCACTTGAAGAGGAACATTTAGGGTGGATGTGTCAAATGCATGGTTTTTATCTTTATTCAGACTTGTGCAATTTTAAACACATGACAAACCATGAACCCATTAGAGAAAGGATTAATCCCCATGCTAAAGACAATATTGGCCCAATACTTGGCCTCCTGGACACTAGGTTCACTAGCCGACGCACTGTTCTGGTCCACACATGCCACAGGACAGTGGCTTAGATTCCTCTCCGAGATGCAGTGTGGTCCAGCCACCAGGCCGTTCATCGTGGGAACGCCTAGCTCTGTGTGTGTGTGTGTGTGTGTGTGTGTGTGTGTGTGTGTGTGCATGGTGAGCAGTGCACACGAGCTAATGGCAGCCACAGGCAGCACCTTGGGTTTCACGCTGCTTCTGTTGATGGTGGAACTTCTGTGTCAGGAGGGCAGGACTGCTTCCCAGCCCCAGTTCTGCATCCCTCAGTTAGCAGGCCCCATCTTGCGGTGTGGGGAGCAGGGAACAAACTTGGGAAGTCTTTGGCACAATGTTACCGAGTGAGTCAGAGGCTTCCAAGGCCTTAGCTGCTTCCAGAGAGCTAAAGCAGGTTAGCTTTTGGAGGATGAGAGGGCCCCTTAGGAAATCATGTCAGCACCACCCAGGGCTCTGTTGTTGCCCTAAAGAGGCATCTAGAAGCTGTAACTTTACACAGATAGCATCTCAGGCCAACTCACTGGGAGCACAGGAAGGTTCAGCACTTTCTGGAAGCTGTGCTAAGGTTTTCCAATCACGGAAGCATCCACTAGTGTCTGAGTGGTGGTTTGCTTAGCATCATTCTCCTGCCCTGAAAGAGTTGACGCAGCTTTAGGAGCTGCAGATATTTGCAGGAAAAATATGTGAATATCCTCCTCGTCTATTTTGAATTCTTTCTCCTGTAAGAACTCTTTCGCCTTCAGTACGTCCATCTCAAGATGTCCATGATCATGGTTAAGAGGAGTTTGTGGAAAATACCTCAAAAGTACATAATCATTGATTTCTCATTAATTGAGGGTTATTAACTAGTCAGATACTAATTATCTTTTTGCTGAAGAAAGCTAATCTGGTTCATAATGTTTTGTTTGAGAGCTGAAAAAGATTTTTGTTTGTAAAGATCTCGGATGTTGTAAGATAGTGTTGGACAAACTGGACAAATGTGGGGTGTGCTGTTTCTTCCAGAAAACAGAATGCTATTCTTCTATGATAGCAGCCCCCAGGTGCAAACAGGGTGTGGGTTAGTAGTCTGTTCACATGGACATCTGTGGGGGTGAGGCCCTACCTGGGGGATTGTGTCTGGGGCTCTCGAGTCTGCCTTCCCTTACACCATGTGCCTTTGCAGGTTCCAGACAGAAGTCAACTACGACACCCTGGAGGTCAGGGACGGCCCCGCTAGCTCTTCGCCCCTGATCGGAGAGTACCACGGCACGCAGGCACCCCAGTTCCTCATCAGTACCGGCAACTACATGTACCTGCTTTTCAGCACTGACAGCAGCCGCGCCAGCGTGGGCTTCCTCATCCACTATGAGAGTAAGCACCCTCCTGACGGTAGGGACCGTGGGGTCTTGGCTGAGGGCTGAGGGTGGCTGGGTGCTGGGTGGGCCTGCTGACCCTGCCTGACCATGCCCTGCAGTCCAGACAGCGCTGAGGATGCTCTCTGGTGGGGCATCTTGGGCTATTTTCCTTCAACTCCTTAAATCCCTGTGAATTGCCTATTATAAAGTAAAATAGTAAGATACTTACCATGTAAAGTAGTTGTACGTCCTTATTTTTAGAAAAGATCTCTACTGGCCAGGAAGGATTTATCTTGGGCAGTGAGAGGGGATATTTTAGTTGGGAAGTTGGTAGCATGTATGAAGTCTCCTAGCTCAGGTAAAGGGGTCCCACTCAGAAGAGAGCCCAGACTGTAATGGAAATAAAATCTAGCTACCCAGAGCCATGTACCAATGGCTAAGAGCATTTTGTGAGTGCATTTTGAAATGTATTAGCCCAGTAGCCCAATTTTAAATCTTCCTTTCTATTTTTGATTCCTTCTGTCAAAATCTGGCTCTTAGACTTAGTTTCTGAAATAACAGGGGCAAGACTTTCTCACTTCATAGTTGTTCAGATGCACACCTAGTTCTAGAGTCTAGTAGAGAACTGCTCCTCCCCTCTGCTAGACATATTTAACACCAGTCACTTAAACATGGAACAAATAATGGTAGATACCATCTTTCCTCCTAAAATCCCTCCTCTCAGAGGACAAGGAAGAAAAAGTAGTAGTTGCCATGGGAACCCAAAGAAAGATGCCATGATTTGGCAGGATTTTGGGGGTCATTCATTTTCAGAAACTTATGTCAAGATAAATAAGATAAATTATTTCTAACCCATAATTCTACACATACACAGTTTTATAAATGCATGAATGAGTTCATACCCAGCATCCTTGACTTTAAACCTTTCTTCCCCCATGTCCCCGTCCCTTTCACCACGTCCTGAAATTCAAGCCAGTCTTTTCCCTGAGCTTCCTCCAGCACCTTCCAGCTCATAACCGCCAGCAGGCTGTGAAACCACACCAGAGAATCACACACAGGTGGACCAGGTGCATGCACATATGAGCTGAGGGTAAACCATGGTTCTGGTGCCCTTGTCCTGGTAGCCAGAACACTGGTTATTAATGACTTAAGATTAATCTCAGGCCAAGCTTGGAGTTATTAATTATGCTTCAGATATCCATATTTTCTTTTAAATTTAAGAACCAGAAAATTTTATGTTTCATTCCTTCTTCATGTCTCTTTAAATGATCCCTACTTTTGGAACAACATGTGAACACTTAATAGCAAAGTTTTGTTATTTCCCATCCCACCCCTATTGTTTTTAGACTGTAATTCCTTGGTCCATCTCCTAGACTCTGGTACAAGTGAGGCCCACATTGCTGGGAGTCTCCTCAGGATTCTCCCTTCACTCTGAGTCCCTGCAGCTGCCCTGGAGTCCTCTGCCTGAGTCTTTTGTTGCATTGTTGCAAAATGTTTACTTTTCATGGTCATTTTGACTTTGGGGAAGAGCCAGAGGTCACACATGACAGATCCTGTGAATAAGGTGGACGGGGACACAGTTTCCTGTTTTTATGGGCTGCCTGTCAGGTGGACCCCACTTCTCAGCAGTGTTCCCCAGGTTGTTGATCACACTTCTCAGAAAGACACACAAGAAAGTGGACTTGCAGAGCTGCGTCAGAAAGTGGTGAGGAACATGGGCAAAGTGCGTTCAGTGGGAAAAAGGTTACCAAGGAGGTTAATACTTGATGGCAATGTATCTCAGACTGTAATAGCTTTAATTTAAGCATTCGCCATCTGTCGATCACACCTGGTATGTCCAGAGTTTCCTCCTGTGAACTTCTCGGGATCCCTCTAGAACACTGGGCATTTTCTGTACTTTCTTCTGGGAGAGATTGAAACTACTGAGAGAAACATCCAAGATGAAGGTGCAGCACGTGTGGGTGCAGTCACTGCTGTTTACTGACAGCCAAGGTGCATTTGAGGAGAAGGAAGGACAAGCACAGAACCCAGAGACTGTGACACCTGACCCACTGGAGGGAGGACATCACAGGGTTCCAGCCATCCCTGCGTCTTAGGAAACTGCAGATTCTGAGCCTCAGCTCTGGATGAGAGGACTCAGGGAGCCTTAGCCAGTGTGCTGGGGTCACCTGAGGCCCCAGGTACCTGGACGAAGCCAGTGTGGGCCTGAGTTGACCTGGCAGTCCAGGATGCTGGACATGGGCAGAAGAGGGAGGTGGGGACAAGGACCAGAGAGACAGGAGGCTGGTGAGCAGGGTAGGGGACTGGCCAAGTACATCCCTGCACCTCTTACCCTCTGAGGGCGCATGCATTGAAGCCCATGTGCAGGCCCTCTAATCCCATAGTTCTAGCAGTGCCACCTCAAATACAGGGTTGCCTGTGACCCAGGAATGACTTCAGTGCAAATTCCACAGGCCATTTAAACATAATAGACATGGATGTATTGATGTATGCTTATGATCCTAGCACTCCAGGAGGCTGAGACAAGAGGACTGATAACTAAATGACTCAATCAAACACCAGGTCTAAATAATAAACAAACAAACGTGCTGACAATGCAAGTCAGTGCAAAGGCGCTGGATTCAATCTGTAGCAGCATGTTTAAAAACAAAGTAATAATAATATAACTCATCCCTTAGGATTCACCCTAGACTGTGACAGTGGAAAGCTGCCTTTGCCATGCAGCCATTCAGACCTCCCCCTTGTTCCCAGATAATCCTGGGACTTTCTCCTGTGCTTACGCAAAGCAGCCCAGGAGAGGTGTCCACGCTCAAGGCTGCTCCTTGGGGTGATGCTGTAAGCCACCTGCTTCCCTGTGGCGAGCAGTCCCACCGAGCAGAGGTATTTCTCAATTGAGTCAGGTCAGGCAGGAGCCAGCGTCCTGGTCTCCTGCAGCTCACTGAGTTGTGATTTCGCTCCTTGCTGAGCCCTGGACCACTGAACAGTCTCCAAAGCCAGGGCAGTCTGTTCCTGGCCTCTCCGTCCTGTGGACCTGCCTGATCATACTGCAGTAACCCCATGGTCCTTCCAGAATACTGTTTTGTTTGTGGATTTTGAATTACTACTTTATAAGGAATTGCAAAACAAAGAAATGGAATTCTCAAATGTGAGGTTTTCCATTTAGTTATGGAGCATTAGTTAGGAAGGATTTTAGAAAAATTCATAAATAGTAACTGAAGAAAGATTGATCATGATATATAATTGCAGTTAATGCAAATGTTGTGTTAAAAAACACAGGGTATAGGTGAACGCAGGTATTTGCAGGTGAATATGTGAGGGTGAACGCGTGAACACAGGTTACTTTTCTGAGATGAAGTAATCTGTTTATGACCAGAAGGGCAGAGTGTGATGACGGATGTAACAGAGTTAGCTGGAACACACACACATGCATACATGCACGTGTGCGCATACACAGAAAGAGAGGGGCAAGAACTTCTCAAGGACGTGGGTTTTAGCCCTCAGTGAATACTTGGCCTTGACCAGTTTTCTCCCACCTGCTTCCTTGCCTACAGAGGGAGCTGTGAGCCCAGACCAGAGGCCTGGAGGCTGTGACAGCCCCACAGTGCGTCCCATAAATGACACTCAGCAAACGTCCACCCCTTTCTTGGACTAGACTTTTATTAAGATCGATAGATACCACAGAAGCCCACTTAGTTATATTAAATGCACATTACTGCAGCTATACATGAGCCACAGCCAAAGTAATCCACCTCCTCTGTTCACTAATAGCACATTTATGGTCTCTTGTTTTACAAAGGTCAAACGCAAAGAAGCATGTTTACATCATTTGCGTGAAGAATTCTTATTGGCTTTAAGTTTCAATTAAGAAACAGTTGGAACAGAATCTAAATGTCTTCCTGATTTGCATTATATCTTGTCCCGGTGAGTGGACCAGGCCTCTCACTAGCCCTCTGGGAGGCTGAAACAGGAGGGTTACAGATTTGAGCCCAGCCTTGGCAAGCTAGCAGACCCTGTCTCAAAATGAAATATATAAAGTTCCTGGGTTCTACCTTCAGCACCACAAGAGTAAAAGCAAGGGGCTGGGGATTTAGCTCAGCGGCATAAGTGCCTGCCTTGCAAGCAGGCAGTCGTGAGTTCGATCCCTGGTACCGATAAAAAGGAAAAAGACAAAAAAAAAAAAAAAAAAAAAAAAAGTAAAAGCAAAATGAAATCCGTTGACCCTTGCTTTTCCTTATGGTGTCTGTGTGGAGACAGAGGTGAACACAGTGCCCTAAGGGAACTCAGAGGGACACTGAGTAGGTTCCGCAGACAGAGTGCCTGTCTTCAGGGACTGAATGTGACTCCTACAGTGCTCTGCTTGCCTCCCAGGACCTGGCCCCTGGATGTCCCTGGGGTCTTTCCCATTGTCCTGCCCCAGGACTCCATGCCTGGCCGGCTGGTCAAGCTGTCCTCTGGTTTATCACTGTAATTGCTCAGTGTGCATCTCCCCTCCCCTGCTCCCACAGTGCCAACAACCTGAATGCCGAGGAGGAGGGCAGGCCAGCATGTGCCCAGATCAGTGCCAGCATCCAAACAGAACAGCAGACAGGAGCAGAGCAGTAACGGTGTCTTCAGTTTTACATCTATAGAATTCTATATTTAAAGCTCTATGCTTTGATTTCCATTAGTATTAGTCTCTCTTGAAACTGCAAATTCTGGGTGGCAAAAAGTTATTATGTCTGAGCTTCATTATAAATTCTACTCATCAGTTCATTATTATATATAACACATATATAAGGTTGTAATTCCCTTTACTGTTGTCCTCTTCAGTGCAAGGAATAGCTGTTTGGTCGTCACAGGATATGCAATGGTTTGGGTGATTTTCCCAGAAACTGGGTACCTTAATTACTCTCTTCACCAGTGAGACTCAAGACCCAACCACAATTTCAAGAAGGAAAGTTTTATTTTGGCTCTCAGTTGTAGAGGTTTAGCCCATAGCCAGCAGTCTGCAAGGCAGGGTGACATGAAAGCAGAGCATGGCAGAGGAGAAAACAGTCCATGGAAGGGCCGTGGAAAGCAGAAAGCCAGCTAAGGAGGAGCCGATGCCTTTGAAACTTGTGAGAACCAGGGCTGTCACCCCTTGTTGCGCATAGAAAGGAGCACTTGTTAGTCTTTGAGAACTTAGAATAAAGGCTAAAGAACAATTCTTGGAAAAATGAAGTTGTTTTTTTTTTTTTTTTTTTTTTTTTTTTGTTGTTGTTGTTGTTTTTAGTGTTGGTTCCTTTATTGTTCAGCCTCCTTCTGTGAAAATGATACCAAGTTAGGGGCTGGGGATTTAGCTCAGTGGCATAAGCGCCTGCCTTGCAAGCAGGCAGTCGTGAGTTCGATCCCTGGTACCGACAAAAAGGAAAAAGACAAAAAAAAAAAAAAAAAAAAAAAAAAAAAGAAAATTATACCAAGTTAGTTTCACTGGCTTTACGAGTACCAGCCACCGCAGGGCTAAGGGAACCGTCCTCCTGAGTGCAAATCTTGGGCCTTCTGCCAATTCGGAAAGCCACTTCTGGGAGTCCCCAGAACTCCTCTGAGATGTTAGGGCTGGCTGTAAGGACTGAGAAAACCTTTGAGGAAGTTTTCACAGTCAAGCTGCTTATAGGAAGAGAGTGCAACACAGAGGTAGCCCTGTGTGTGGAGCCTGGGAAGGCCCCAGACACAGCACAAAACTTGAGGGCACTTGAGGGCTGTGAGCAGCCATGGCTGATTCTCTAGTACTGGTGTCCAGAGCTCTGCAGGGGTCTTACGCAGTGCAGTAGCATCAGTCTTTGCCTCCATGGTCAAACTCAGCCTCCAGCTGCTCCATCTTATAGGGAGCGCAGAACTCTCCTTGCCCCAGAGCCTGCCATGAGTAACTGGACACCCAGGAGCTGGGGCTTTCCGGGAAGGGGGGCCTGGGCTCCTCACAGAACATTGCTGAGCAATGGCTTCGTGGCTCCTCTGGGCTGCATTTCCCAATGGGTATGTTTTACTACACTAATGAAGAAATATTATTGTTCATTACTGAGTATTTTTGAAAATTCTCCTCTGATTTTGTGTTTCATGTATTTTACTTAAGGATGCAAAGTACATTTATGAGTCTTATCTCTTAAATTCTTCGGAGCATTGATCAATAAGAATATGCCAAAGATCCCAGAGGGTATTTATCCACCTAATATTGGAAATACTTTAAAATTTCTGATTACTCCAGACCATATTCATGTTCTGAACTCCACTAAGAGAGTGATACACACTAAGAGCAAGCCTGCATTTTTTGCATGTATAAGTATTTTTGTAATATTCTCTTCCTTTATTCTCAGTTTGATCATCTCTTAAAATATATACTATTCTAGTATGAGAAATGTAGAACAGAAAAGAAATTCTCACAGTGGCGTGATCTAATTCTTTGACTTTATGTGGCACTTTTCCACATGTTTTAGCTTAGGTTAATTAAGCCATCTCTGAAGTGGCTGACTTCAGTGCAGATTGTTAAAATGTATGGATTTAAAAAAGGCAGTTTTAAAAATTCAACTGTAGCATAATTTTAAATTGCATTTTGTGTGTCTATATTTAAGTGTATGTACGCAAATATATGAACATTAGCATATGATAACTAAAATCTAACAGGAACATAAAGTATGAAAGAGAAAGGAAATGATGGAGATTAAAAAATAAAGGAAAAACCCTTGGCCTTTTTTGAACAGTTTCTTGGTTTTACAATAAAGAAAAGTGAAGTTCTACCCTGTAATTCTTGCATTCTCTTCAATGGCTTCACACTGTCTTGATATGCTTGATGCTATAGCATACGAAGTTATACTCAAATAGTTCAAGGAAAGAGGCACTATGGTGACTACTATTATGTTAGATTATCTGGTGGTGAAACACAATGATGCTTAAATTGTTCGGTTCTGACCTGCGTTGTCTTGTTACAATGTCCTCTCTTATCCCAATCTCCCCCTTTTTAAAATTAATCTATTTTTTCTCATTTTTTTAATTAAGGGAAAACTAAATTAAGAAATAGTGGGACATATTATAGTAACTTTTTTGGTTTCCTATTATCCTGATTTGAACCCTAGTATTGCTCTCCCCATCTTGTTCTGTCCGATTATACTATATTCTATTTTGTTTGATAGTATCACATTCGAGGGTATAGGCAACCACTCTGAAGGCAATAAGATATACTAGGATGCCCATTATGGTTTGACTATTATCTTTTTTTGAAGTCCTGTAAGGTCTCCAGTGTAGGTTTTATTGGTCTTGTTCTGTACTGTTTCGATCAATTCTATTATACCTGATGATACAGGCAACTCAATTTAAAAATATCAAGAGGCACAATGGTAACCACTTTTGATCACCTGGTATTCTATTTTTGCATCACGTGCTATGCCCACCCTTCTGTTCTAACTGACTCTGTTTTTCTTAGTCACGTTTGGTTTTATTCTCTTCAAAAAAAAAAAAAGTAAGAAGAACTGTGGGAGTAATAAAACCCAAAAAGTGTAATTGTTATTGTAAAAAAGAGAGGAAAGGAAGATGGACTAAGGGATGTAACCACAGGTATGTTTGAGTGTGTAGGATGGAAAACCATATTACTGAGCTTTTGTTGGATCATTGAGCGGAACTATCGCCAATATCACTGTGCGAACACTTTATATGCTTTAATTTTATAATTTGGACAACTGTTTTTCTATAAAATATGTAACCTATTAACTAGTGATTTCTTACTGTATTTTTTTTCTTGAAATTCTGTATTACTTGTACCCTTTTACTGCTTTGTTTTTTTTTTAATTTTCTTTCTTTATTTCTCTTTAAATAAAAAAGAAAAGAAAACAAAAGCGAAATTCACAGAGATCACTGAATTATTTAGGGTTGCAGTATTGAGATATTGTCTGTAGCAATGCAAATCCCTCTCCTCTGAAACACAGGGTCCACTGTTTGAAGTTGGATTGTGCCTTACACTAATGGGTTGCTGGATACTCATCCACACATTCCACAGTGGGTTATCCCACTGTGTGTCTTCCCTGGGTGATGCTTTCTGGAAACCCTTTACAGTTTTGTAGCATGGCCTTTTCTCCTCTTCTCTTCTCTTCTCTTCTCTTCTCTTCTCTTCTCTTCTCTTCTCTTCTCTTCTCTTCTCTTTTGTTTTCTTTTCTTAATTAACCTGGAAAGCCCTCCTGTCCTGTGTTTTCATCTAGGTGTGACTCTCGAGTCCGACTCCTGCCTGGATCCAGGCATCCCTGTGAACGGCCATCGGCACGGCAGTAACTTTGGCATCCGGTCCACAGTGACCTTCAGCTGTGACCCCGGGTACACCCTGAGTGATGAGGAGCCCCTGGTCTGCGAGAGGAACCATCAGTGGAATCACGCATTGCCCAGCTGCGATGGTAGGTGGTGCTCATCTCCCAGGTGCCATAGAGAGATGCAGAGACTGCAGACCAGGCCCTGGGGGTGGTGAAGATCCCCAAGGCATGATTTCCCTGAAAGGCTGCAGGATCTAAGGCTTCGCATGCCTGAAGTTTACCCCCCACACTTTCTCTACTGTGCAGAGCATCTCCCCCACCCTATTGGGCCCGGCACCTGACTTCCACTGCCCAGCCGGCCCCATTCTTCTGCGGAGTACTCTTGCAGATGTGGGGACAAAGGGGAGTCCGCAGTGCCCAGAGGGCTGGGGCTAGTTTCCTCCATCCCAGTGAAGTGAGGCCCTTCTGTAAGGTCCACACAGCCTGCCTCCGGACTCTTCCCTGCGCCAGAGCACTGGTGGGCACGCGGGCTCCCACAGACCTTCTGCAGACCTTGATGCGGGCTGCCACCCCACCCCCTGGCCTGGACCCATTCCTCAAAGCCTCAGAACGGAGAGCATCCTCGATGGGAGGGTGGCTGCGTGCCACCAGCCTTCCCGGAAAGATAAATATGTGATTTCTGTCACTTGCAAGAAAACTTTGAGCATTTAAACTTTAGTCTGGAAAATAATCCCAGCAATGTAAAGCTGTTTCTATGGAAAAATGTGTAAGTGAAAGGAAGTTGACTGTAGAAATGGAAATTTCCAGCTGCTGCAGTCTTGTATATTGTAAGCATTTCTTTTCAAGCATTAGGTGCACGTGTATTAAACACCTTGGCTTCTTTAAGGATGCACACATGAAAGTGCTTGTGTAGGAGTAAATAGAGCCTCAAACCACTAAAAGCCATTCCCCTCTGCCGCAGGGCTTCCCAGCTGGTCTCCAGGCAGAGTCAGAGTCCCAGGGCACTCAGGCCCCAGGGCACCTTTGAGAGAGGTCTGAAATGAGAAGGCACTGGACCTGAGTCCCTCCTCTGCTGCCCCAGCAGCCCTTTCCTTGTGGCAGGCCTCCACCTCCTGTAGAGAAAGGGACCTCAGCATTAGCAAGTGCTCACATGCAGGAGTGACTCCTGGGCCACCCAGAGGTGGACAGAATCCTCATGGCCCCTTGCTCTGAGTAGAGTTGTCTTCAAGTTTATGGTGAACAGAAAGAAGAAACAGCAACTATGGATATGAAAAGAAAGAAATCAGACTCAAGACTCAAAGAAGAGGTGTGTGGGCCTCTGTGCCTGGAAAACATGGACCCAGAAGGGGGCTGCTCAGGAGGTGGCCCTGGGGAGGGACAGAGGTGCAGGGAGCTGGCAAGCTACAGTGTGAACCCCCAAAGATCGACTGCACCTGTCAAGTGAGAGGGAGCGTGCTCACCTTGGGAGTGACTGGGTCCTCACAGGGAGAGAGGCCCCACTGTGGCTGACCCCACTTCTCCCAGGGCTGACCCCTCAAGGAAAGCCATCATGGCCTGTGACACTCAGTCCTCATGGGTGATGCTTAGCAACTGGCTTGCTGACTGCTGTAAACCCAGCCCTCTGGGCAGTAATAACGGCCTGGAACTCTGCCTCATGGGAAGACAGTGGGAAGCTTAGGAGGTGGCAGACTAGAGGAGGCAGGCGTGAGGGTGCTGAAGTTCCTGTTAGCTCCAGGGAGCAGAGGAGGCCTTCAGGGTTCCTGTGGAAGAGCAGCAGAAATGCAGTACCCCAGAGTGAGGGGCTGTGTTGCTCCTCATCTCCTGAGCTCTGTCCAGCAGCTTCCCTCACCCTCAGGATTCACCAACGAGAATGGACATCAGCCATCATCTGGCTCTGCTGCCCTGTGGTCCAGCCAGCTCCCCCTCCTTGGATACGCATATTAGTTTAGGAGCGCTTGCTACAGGGCTCTGAAAGTAGGCTAGTGCCTTGTTCTTAGTGTGTCGAACCTGATTATCCGAGGAGTTTTAAATAAACTATTCACCGCCCCCACTGGATTATAAACTTCAGTATGCTGAAAACTTCCCTGTCTTTTTGCTTATGCCCAAGAGGGTAAGGGAAAGTTGATTAGAAGCACATTCAGTCCTTCCTGGTAGACAGCGCTGACTGAGGGTTGCTGGTTGAACACGTAGAGGGGTCAGTGCCAGGACAGTGCTGGGACAGCGCTGACCGCAGCCAGCCTGGGACAGCTCAGCTCGGGTCCTGCTTGTCGTCTCCTAGTTTCTGCATAGTTTATCTCCATGCAAAGCATTCCTATAACAGCTTACCTGGGGGTCTTGCTGGATCAGTACCATAAGGAGAAAAGTGAAATTCAAGAAGTTATAGCCTTAAGGAATGCAAAAGCAAAATTTTACCATAACTTTCATAACTATCCTAAGAAGACTATACACTGTAGAGAGAAATAGCTTCATGTAATTCAAATTATATGCAGCTAAATTTGCAGCCCTGTCCCCAGGGCATGGAGCCATGCCTACGAACATAGCCACAGCCCATGTGGACCCTGAAATGTGAATTAGGGTTCTATGTTATTCCCTCTTTTCCATTCTTCAATATTTGATGAGAATAGCAACTCATTCCCAGTCCCCACTATAGCAAATTCCCCATTCCATAAAAAGCTGGGCTTCGTGCACCAAGTGGTGCTGTGGTAGCACTTCAGTGAGGGCCGGGCTGGTCTTTCCAAGGTGCTTCTGGTTTCTCCTCTGTGCAGCCCTCACGGGGTTGGCGGTAGCTCTGGGATCCCTGCCCTGTGTGTGGATAACATGGCACAGTCAGGGCACTTTCCCTCTCGAGCTTCTCCCCAGCACAGTCCGATAGCTTTCCTCAATTGCATCAGGACCAAGGATGAGAGAAAGATACTTGGATGGTGTCATTTCTAAATGTATCTGGATGTGAATACTGTTATCAGTTTATGTGACCTACGATTGTAGGATACAGACATCAACAACTTCAGGGGGTTTGGATTTCATATAAAATGTTTTTAAATCATTTTGCTTAAATCCTTCACAAAAATGAAAGATTTGATTTATGCTAATTTATGATAATTCAATCATAGGCATATCAAAGTGCTGAGTGTGTACTCGCCATGTTCAGGACAATATTCTACCCATGACCCTTTGCTTCCTTGCTCCGCTTAGGTTCCCGTGTGGGAAGCCCCTGTCCCCTGAGGTAGTGACTTGAGGTTCTCTGTCCTCGGTCACCCTATCTGTGTCCACATTCACTATGCTGGGGTCTCAACCACCTGCTGTCAGCCCTCTACACGGAATCCAGGCTTTGTGAGGGTGCCTCGCCCAAGTTGGACGTCTCATGTCCAAAGCATCAGAGCCCAGGAACCTAAACAGTCACATGGGGGACCCCTGGCCTTTGTCTTTCTGCATCCGAGTGATTTCACTCAGCACAGTGTCCTCTAGCCCCTATGATTCAGATGGCAGACCCCATTCATTTTCCTGGTCTAGGACTCTGCCAGTGTCTTCTGTCTCCCCTGTGGGGACAGAGGCTGTCTCTTCTCTTGCTATTGGGACTACTTGTGCAGTTAGGCTGGGATAGCGTTGTCTTCTACATATCAGGTCCTTTGCCTTGGAAACACAAGTGATCCTGGAGGAACTGAGCCCAGTGGGAGAGGGGTGGTTCTGCCTTCAGAATTTTAGGAATCACCGTGCTGTTTTCAGAATGGTGTTACCAGTTTACATTTCTGCAAATTATGCATCTCTCCCAGCCCTGGAAAACCCAAGGACGTGTCCAAGGAGGAACAAGGGAAAAGGTGGTTGCAAAGGCTGCCCAGACTGCAGGGGACAGGCGGAAGTGTGTCTAGTGTTGCAGGCACAGTGGGGCTGGTGTCTCTCCGTGGCTGACAGTCGATTAATATTTCAGAATCACAGCAGAGAGGCTGCTGGATATTCCCAGCACAAGAAGCACTGGAGGTATTCACATACATCCTACACTGGAGGTGTGTAGGATGGAGATGCTGGTGACCCTGGTCCAATCATTGCACATGGTGTTTAGGTATAAAAATACCACATCCTACCCCATAAATTTGGACAACTGTTATGCTTTCAAAACTACTAAATATGCACATTAGAAAGCTCTTAGAAGCAAAAGGTATCATTTATATTGTGTTGACGGTCTGCCACTACTTTTCCATTGAAATTTCTATGACATAATGACCTTTTCCTTCCTTCAGAAATGACTCAGAATTAGTTTTGAACACAGCCCTTTAGCAAAGTGGAGAGCAAGGGAGAAGCCTGGGGCTGCAGTGTCCACGGCCCTGAGCTTCCGAGACCTGGTGCCCACCTTGCTGTGCTTTGTTCTGTGTTAGGTTTGAGGCTGGTTTGCACCCTGCCTCTGCCCTGGCTCGCCAGAGTTTCAAGTGAAATAAAGCCCGAGCTCTGTCTTTTCATGAACATGTGTGGAACCCTGTGTTAGGGTTATTGCACATTCAATGCCATTGGAAATGTTCTACCCTAGCAGTCACTGTGAGGCTCTAACGCTGGAACGATTTCTGTTATTTTAAGCGCTCTGTGGAGGCTACATCCAGGGGAAGAGTGGAACCGTCCTTTCTCCTGGGTTTCCAGACTTTTATCCCAACTCCCTCAACTGCACGTGGACCATTGAGGTGTCTCATGGGAAGGGTAAGATGAAGACATGGGTCTCCGATTCTCAGGACAATGCATGAAGCACACAAGGAACAGAAAAATACTAATGTCCAGACACAAGCAAGGACAAGAACTGACTTCCCTAGATATATTTTTTTAAGACTTTGAGATTTATTTTTAATAAGATTCTAGAAGAGAAATGATCTTTAAGTTATCAGAACTATGGGCAAAATAGATTCCCAGAGAACCAAGCTAGGAACTGGAAATCAGGTGTTGTGGTGAGGAAGGAGACCTGCAATAAATGATAACCTGTGACTATTGATGAGGATATAACCAATTATTATACATCTGGGAAAGTCTGTATACTCATCTTGCATTTAAAGTTTACCACTGATATTCCACATAACAAATAACTAAGTTTGGCACAATCCAGTGATGCCTTCCCAGACAGACACCATCACCCCCGCCCGTACCACGGGCACGTGTGGGAAAGCTGAGAAATCCTGTGTGTGCAGGGAAGGTAGGTGCTGTGTTTAGGGGTGAACTTTGTACCTTTCATACCTAGCTGAATTTTCCTTTTTAAATAAGTTATTTAAAATTGGCTATCACATAAATCCTGTGTAGACGTTGTCTTTTGAGCTGTGTTTGAGTTCAGCTTGGTGCTAAACTGACCTGTTTTATTACCCATTCTGCTTTGCACCATGTTGCCATGAATGGATATTAAAGATCTTGGCCATCAAGTGTCCTGAGAATAAAGAAAAAACAGGTCATGAACGACTCAGGTTTTTATGCTTACTTAAAGGGATGTGTTCATGGATCCCCGTGTTCACTTCAGCATAGATGTCCAAGCGGGCACAGGCGTGGTCAGTAGGTGGAACTTCATGATCAGGACCATTTCCCTCAGGCAGTCTTTGATGCACTGTAGTTACCAAGTACATTTCCTGAAGGGCAGCTCAGTACAAATGGGAAAGTTATATTCTTTGTCCCTCTTGGATAAACACTCTCCCTGTGAGTCTTGGGATTATTCTTGAATGTAAGCATTGTGACTGCCTAACCTGCATCACCTGTGTGTCCGTATCTCCATCCTTATCTACGTTACCATCCACACATGTATGCAACTACACACAGCCCGTGTCTGCCCGGTACTCTTATCCGTGCCTGTGTCTGTCTGGACCCCTGTGTGTCCCCAAAAGCCTGTGTGCTTTGTCTGCCCGCCTCTACCCCTGTCTGCCTCTACATTCTTCCCGTCTGCATTTACATGGACATCTAAGTTTGTTCAGATCGACATTTCCTTCTGTAGCACACATTTGAGCATTTGTTTTTATTTCCTCTCTCTTGGTTTCTACCATGACCCTCTTCCTTTTCGCTCAAGCTTCTAGGTTAGAGTTACATCCTGAGATGAAATTTTAATGCTTTGACCCATACTTTCATGTCCGAGCACTGTGAGCAGTGACTTCCCCCCCTCGCTGCCTCTCTGACCACTGTCCCTGTCTGCCTGCCTCTCAGGGGTGCAGATGATCTTCCACACCTTCCACCTGGAGAGCTCCCACGACTTCCTCCTGATCACCGAGGATGGCAGCTTCTCCCAGCCGGTGGCCAGGCTCACGGGCTCAGTGCTGCCCCACACCATCAAGGCCGGCTTGTTCGGAAACTTCACTGCCCAGCTGCGCTTCATTTCAGACTTTTCTATTTCCTACGAGGGCTTCAACATCACCTTTTCAGGTATGTGAGTCTGTTTGCTGTCTCACAGCTCTGGTAATAACCCTACCATCTCTCACTCTAGTTTCTCTCTGGATGGGCTTCTAATTAGACACACCTGCCCAGGCCTGGGTAGAGGGGCTGAGCCTCCACCAGGCAGAGTGTGAGGACCCCTGGGTGCCACCAGGAACCATGCCACTGTAGATTATATATCCTCATCCTGGAAAAGATATACAAAACCATCTTTTCCTGGAAAGCCCACCTGGTTTATTGCTCTTGGTCACCTGTGTCCTCCTTGAGGATGCTTCTCTCCTGCAGAGGTGACCTCAGGGCAAGCTGTCCCCTGACTCACTGGCTCCCCTGTCTGGTGGATGCTGACACTACTGGAGAGCCACCAAGGGGGCTGTGTAGACACAGGGCCAGGAGGACAGACTCTTAATCCTCTCCTACAGTCACATGAGGTGACTAACACCACCCTCTCATCAGTGACTTTTATAAGTCTTATTGTAATAGAGAGGTTTATCTGTGCACGAGTGATGTTACTCAGACATTATCTTCAAGGGTTAGATTGCTGAGCTTTTTAATTTTATGCCATAGGTAGTAATAGGGTTTTACAGATGAGAAAACAATTACCAAAAAATATTTGCAAAAACAGAAGACACACATCCAGGACAAGTTTGACCTAGTGAGAAGAAAGGGCTAGTGAGCAAATAGTGGCCAGGGCCACGGTGTTGGCAGATGCTCTCCCACCCCATGCCAGGGCTGCAGGGGAGTCTGTGAGTCCGAGATTAAGATGCAACAGTGATAGGAACTGACGCCTGCGGGGGATGTTTCCAGTTAGGCTGCACAGCTTGGATGCAATATAATTTTATAATCTCTGGGTACCACAAACACACGTGACTTCTGCTTTCAGGGTCCTATAAATCCCTTAGCAGCTTTCCATGGCTCTTGGGGGAGTGTCTGAGTACTCTCCTTGTCTCCAAGCACAGCTCCTGATAGGACATGGTTCATCCTACTTTCTCTTACCTGGCAACTCTCTTCCTGTCTTAATCATAGCTCACTAAATACCGTGCAATCATGGCACCACTTAAAGTGAAACCCTGCTTTAACACCACACGGAGGGAGGGACTTTTCTCTAATTCCCACCAGCTGCCATTTCTCTTAACTGACTTCACTGGTGTTTCTTGCTGTGTCACTGGTCCAGCATGGGCTTCTAATTAGACACACCTGCCCAGGCCTGGGTGGAGGAATTTACTGTGATATGGAGTAATCCTGAAATTGGCCACTCTGTGTATCAAATTCTTAGTGCTAATACCTAAATCCCTGCCCGCAGGGCTGTCCCTGGTGGCTGTCAATTAGTATCCCTGTGAGGGATCCCCTCCACTGCTCTTTTGACCATGATCCAAACTGAGTTTAAACAGAGCTCTGAGGACAGAGGCGGAACAGATTTCCCATGAGTCTGTGTGAATCTTCCCATTTCCTCCCATCTGTTTCTCAGCTCTGTGGCTTTCCGTGTGCAGCTGACTAGGAGTCTCTTATTACTGACTGAGTCCCTTAGTGCAGGATACCAGAGTCGGGTGACAGACAGAGCACAGGAACTTGTGTCTCACAACCCTGCAGGCTGGAGAACCCAGGTCAAGGTGCCACTGTGTGGTGGGGTCTCCGTGTCCACCTTCACAGGGGGTGGGACACAAAGAGAGCCTTGGTCTTCACATGGCAGGAAAGCAAAGCCAGCTCATGCCCTGTCAAGGCTGCATGAACCCCATTGGCACCCTCCCCACACCAAACAGTTAACAAAGCAAAATTCGGGGGACGCGTTCAGATCCTAGCAATCATCAGAATGCAGAATGGAAACACAGGACTCCTTTTTTTTTTTGTTTGTTTGTTTGTTTTTGTTTTGTTTTTTTTGTTTGTTTGTTTGTTTGTTTTTTTGTTTTTTTTTCCCATAAATTCCTTTGCACAGGCAAGCAATAACCATCAGAAAACACTCTCTTCTGGATCTATGGAGCTTTGCAGGGGCAATTTTTAAAATATGTATTGGTGTTGAAACTAAAGTTCAAGCATTTGTGAACATTTACAAGACCTTTACCCACAATCAATGGGTGCAAAGCATAAAACTTGTAGAAGAAACCTTTGCATCAGGACGTCACACAGGCAGAGTCTTGTAAAAAGCTAAAGCCACACTTGACTGAAGCAACTTCAAGGAAAATGTGCTCCTCAAATATGCTGAGGGAATAATTTCATTTTCAGAAGTTTTGCCTTGAAACTGAACAGCAAACAGTCTCCAGTGGACTAATATAATGAATCCAAAGGAATGGCGATTTTATTATACAAGCAATGCATTTACTCTTCAGGGAATTTTTTTTATCAGTCCAGTTTTTCACCATCTTTCTCAAAGGTTTTGTCAAAGCAGTCTTCCAGGCAGCATCATTACAGGTGTCAGTGGCAATTTGGGGACAACGCCCCTCTGTGTTCTGGTCAGTCTCTGTGCACACCAAGCTTCCCCCTCCATGCTCCACTTTCTGAGTTACTAACTTGCAGCAAATTCACACAAGTTCTCAGGGTTTTCACAGCAAGTTGAGAGTCTGGACCACTTTCCTCTCTGCCTTCCCCTCTCCATTCAAATGCATTCTCTTCAGAGGTCACCAGGCAAATTCTGTCCAGGACTAACTTGTCTGCTGTGCTCAGCCTCTGCTCTTCCTCATGCTAAGAAGAACGCTTACTTCCCCTGCATTTAGAAAACTACACATGCATACTACTTCAGTGCATTTCTGCAGCGGCACAAGAGGAGGAGCTTCTAGCAGAAGGAAAAGCCACTGCTGGGGGTGCTGGCAAGTTCAAGGGTGAACAGGAAGGTGGCTGTGGCTGTTCCCAGAGCTGGAAACCGAGAGGAAGATAGCAGGATGTGTGGCCTCAGCTGGAGCCAGTTCCTGTGAAGTCACACATGGGTGAGGATGCTGACTCTGGGTGTGGCAGGAAGCCACTGAAAGGGGTGAATACAGGCTGATATGATCAGACCTCTCCTCATGCCATTCTAAGGGACATGTGATCTCAGGGGAAACTGTGATACAATAACCCCAGTCGGAGACGACACAGAAGGTTCAGGCTTGGTGGGGTGCTGGAGGGCTGGAAGTCCCTTGATTTGACTTGATAGAGAGGAGTCAGGGCTTTCAGAATGAGTAGATGACGGTGCTGTTTTAGACAGAAAGTACAAGGAATGCAGTTTGGGGGACAAAGAAGCATTTTGTCTTAAAAAATTGAGCTGTATGTACAAAATGGATTGTCAAGAGTTTTGAGTCCCAAAGAGGAGAAAATGAGAAAAAAAAATTGAAAATCAGCAGTGCAGAATCACTGTGAAGACAGGAAGTGGCACTGGAAAGCAAGTGGAGTTTAAGGGGAGAGGTCGAGGTTGGAGGTGGGCTCTGCGTTCTGGTGCAGCGAGGACAAGGACGCAGATCACCCAATGGACATGCAGCAGGGAGAGGAGGAGGCAGTGTCCTCCACCTGAGACATGGATGTCTCCTCTGAGAGATGGCTGAGGACAGAGGATAAAACTCTATCTGTGACCCCAACCCTGGCTGGGTCACAGCTGAGCTCACAGAGGCTCTAGGAGGGCTCCAGAGGGGAGCTTGGACAGCTGAGGTAGAGAGGGACCTAGAAGAGAGAACAGGACCACGGGAGACGCTCACCTTCCAAGAGCTAGTGTCAAGGTGATGACAGTGCGGAGGCTGGTGCCTGTGAATTCAGCAGAGTGGTTTCATTGGTTTGATGTGTTAGCTGTTCTGCTTGCTTGTCCCATCTTGCCATGGGTGCCTTCACACATTTTTATGCAGATGAAAATAAGCCCCCTGGATAAACTGAGAAAGAGAAAAAAATAAATGCCAGAAGCAAACTCTTTCAGTTCGAAGAAAGGTAAAACCCGGGTGACACACGGTCCTTGTGTTTGACTAATTCATGGGAATGCACTTGGTGCAATGCATCGTGAAACAATGAGTGTGTGATAGCCAGCACAAGGCCCTGGCACAGCCATGCGGTGGACTCATGATACACAGTACCCTCTGCTCAGTTCCACCTCAGGCTTCCTATCCATGTGGGCACTTCTGGAGGTCACTATTAAAAGAGGACATGGCCAAGCAAGGACCAGAGGAGTACGGTGCTTTCCTCCTGTAATGCAAAGAGCAAAGCATAAAGCAACATGTTGTCTTCTCATTTTGCAAAAGAGGGCTCAATTGTTTTCAAAGAAGTCACAGAAAACCTTTCATCTTAATAGAGGACACAGCATGTGCTTGGACAGAAGGAAAATCATGTCAGGAAGGTGTGAGATCGAATTTGCTGGATCCTGACATCTTCATTTTAGTATTTCCTAGAGATTTTGTCTGTGTGTGTGGTAGGTTTCAAATGTGTGGATTTCAATTAAATGACAATTAAATATTATTTCTTCTTGGGGTGTATTAAAATAAGATCAAATGTAGAAGCATATTACAAGGATGATCAGTTTGGATAAATTAAATACATGGTGTAAATACTTTGTCCAGAAGCAAAGCATAGCCATGTCAGTACTGTGAGCAGTCTTCAGGGGTCGATCAGTAGGCTGAATGACAGGAGGGTAACAGGCAGGGGGTTCCCCATGGGTTCTGACAAAAGTCACCTACAAGATGTGAACAGAGGATTCACTAGTCTAGAAATGAAGCAGAAAGATCAGATCCAAAAACTATTAAGAAAACATGATTATCTTCCCATGTTCTTTGGAAACACTGATTGGTAGTTTGAAGACCTTAAAAGCTGACCGTGGAAATCACAAAGGGAGAGAAAGAGTGGCACAGCTTTGACATTTTCCACACCACAGGCTGGTCCACGGGCCTGTGTTTCTGAGGCTGTGTGCTGTAGGCCCTCTGCAGACTCAGCCTTCAAGGTCCCCCTGCTCCCCCATCCCTGTCCCGATGGCATCTCCTGGCCGAGCCCAGGCTGACACAGTACGACTGCAGTGGGTTCAGAGCAAGGGAACAGCAAGGAAGCCCAGAGCAGCCAGAGAGCTGTCCTTCCTCTTCCTGAGTCCACAGAGACGAAGTCCTGGGCTTCAGGATGGGTGGGGACCGAGGGGGCAGGGAAGAGACAGCTGCTAGGAAGGAACCACAGTGGCACATGCAGTGGTCTGGGCACCTTGTGCTGCAGCCCTCGCCATGCTGGCCAGCTATTCTGCTGTCAGCTGAGTCCAGTGTGCCCTTCTCGAGTGGGTCACGGACACATCCAGCAGTTTGTGGAGTGTTCTCTATGCCCACAAGCAAAGCAAGGTCTATAGACAGAGCACAGTTCCTGCTCTGAGTGGAGTACATTTTACAGTAGCTCTCTGTGGTTTCTATGTCACGCTCCCTACCTCAGCTGTCAAAAGCACCTTCAGGGCAGTCTAAGAACTGATTGTGACTGAAAACATAGCAAAATAACTTCAGGCTCTGAGAAGGATAATTTTGAAATGAGCCATCTTCTTTTGCTTGTTATGCATGTATAACTATATTTTAAAAATACTAAGCTTGATGCCATTTGTCATAAAACACAAAGGAAAAGGAGTCACATAGCAGTGTCAGCAGCCAGCACCTGTCTGGGTTCTGTTCAGAACAGTGCTTCTGTGAATTCTGGCCTATGACTGTTGAGTGTTCCCCAAGTTTCCCCGCTCACTCTGTCTCTCTGTCCCAGAGTACGACCTGGAGCCCTGTGACGACCCCGGAGTCCCTGCATTCAGCCGCAGAATCGGCTTCCACTTCGGCGTGGGGGACGCCCTGACCTTCTCCTGCTTCCCAGGCTACCGCCTGGAAGGTGCGGCCAAGCTTACTTGCCTGGGCGGGGGCCGCCGTGTGTGGAGTGCACCTCTGCCAAGGTGTGTGGGTAGGTGGTCACACGCTTCATTTCATTCATCCAGGGCACAGGGCGGCAAGAGGGGAGGGCGGGAGGGACAGGCCCGGTGGGATCCAGCCCAGTGACGTAGGCTCTGCCAGAGGTGGGTCTTCCGCAGCCCTGAGTTACAGGGAAGAGAACTGAGCAGAGGCCAATTGGGGCTGCAAAGGGAACGCACGTGTGTACTTAAGCAATCTGATAATAAACAAGCTGGAGGTCAGGTTGCAGTGACACTGCCCTGGGGACTACCTGTATCAAAAGTGCCAGTGAGTTGGGCATGCAGGTGGCACACGCCAACAATCCGGGCTCCTTGGGAGGATAGTGCGGGAGACTTGTAGGTTCAAGCTCTGTCTATGTACTTAGTGAAAGACTCCATCTCAGAATAAACAATGAGAAGGCTGGGATTGTAGCTCTGTGTGAAGCCGCTGGTTCCAGCAGAAATGAGGTTGCAGACCCAAGGCAGTGTGCATTGCTCTGGGTGTGATGACAAAGATGGTTTCCAGGGCGACTCTGGCTCAGGGCTACTCGACCTTGGAATGGGTGCTCTCGCCTCCTTTTGAGAAGGGCGTCACAGGCAGCCCAACTTGGAACACCTTCCCAGGAGTTCTCCTGGAACCCAGGAGATGGGTCTGAAGAGGAGCAACAGCTCAGTATCCTGGGTGGAGGGACTCGGAGGAAGATGCTGGGCCTTGCTGCAATCAGTGACCGGGTTACAAGGTGCTGCTTGTTGTGGTTCAGGGTCTGTGCCATTCTGAGAGAGGCAGGGGACAGGGGAGAACTTGGTGGGTTTGGCTCCTGTCCCACCTGCATGACACCAGCACCCTGCCAGAAGCATGACACCGGTTGGGTGGGGAACACCCTGTCCGTGTGCTGAGATCCTGTTTTGTCTAGAGTCTCGAGGCCCACAGAGTTTATCTTGTTACTCAGTGTCGGTGTCACTCCCGGCCGGCAGGAAGGACACACAACAAAGTCTGGCAGTGGACAACCTTTTCTTTTACTTTCCTTCTCCGTACAGCCTGCCCTGGGATCGCTCCCAGCCGAAGCCTCTGTTGGTCCGCTCCCCGTGGCTCCTTCCGTGCTTCGCTCCGAAGCCTCTACCGGTCCGCTCTCTGAGGCTCCTTCCGGGCTTCTACTTCCAGTCTGTCCCGAAGCCTCTGCCGGTCCGCTCTCCGCGGCTCCTTGCGTGCTTCTTCTGCTTCTTCTTTCATGGCGGGAGAGGCACTCACTTTTATAGGGTTACAGTGGCCAATCAGTTCAAAGCGCGCGATGCGGGCTGATTGGCTAACATCAGTTGTTGCTAGGCAGACTATCTTACAGGGCGGGTTGTGAAGCAGGAGATCTTACAGGGCGGGTTGTTTACCAAGCAGGAAGCAGGAGATCTTACAGGGCGGGTTGTTTACCAAGCAGGAAGCAGGAGATAAGCGCCATCTTAGCACACTCGATGGGAGGGGTAATCTAGCTCAGGCTTTGCTCTTTCCTACAGGCCTCACGTCCGCCAAGTAAGGCGACCGGGCTCGGCCGCGGCTCCCAACATCTCCCCCTTTTTTATTTTTTATGAATGTGCGCATCGTAGCCCTTCCTGGACTGGGTGCAGAGGCTTATGCCCTATGCGTAGGCCCACCGTAGGTCCTTGGCTTAGACCCTGGTCGGCCGTCCCATGGTCTGCCAAGGCCCTGAGGCCCTCGTCCTTTTTCTAGGGCCAGGCACAAACTGGACGGAACCTGGATGCACACAAGCTTGCACTCATTTCCTCTCCGTAAAGAAATCCCCTCGGAGAGAAATTTAGACCTGGGCAGCATCTAACAGTCCAGCGGCTTACGTGCAGGATGGGGTAGGGCCTGGCTTAGGTTGAGTCGCACCGGGGGAGTACGCTCTTACCCGTCATTGACTCTCCTACCCAGCTATGTCATAATTTTTTAGAGGAGGAGTGTGGGAAGCTCACCGCCCCTAGACTCGGTCGTAGGCTAGGCGAGCGAGCCATGCATATGCCTGAGGATCTTTTTGTCCATTTTGGGCTACCGCTATTTCTATTCATCTTGTTGGTTGGTCTGTGATGGATCTCCGGTAGGGCAGGTCTGATCTTCAGTCGAGGGCTTTGTTGCCCGTGTCAGTCTCTCCGGTACCCACAGTGGTTCTCGTCCCGGTTCCTGTGGGAAAACACAAACCGCGCCTCGGTTCCAGCTAACCACCGGATCCGGGCCCATCCATTGTCCTGTTAGGACATCTTTCCATTTAACCCATCCTTTATTGTTAGGAGATGGATTACAATGCTCCATAGCTGGGGAGCAATCAGCATTGTTTAGATTTAAAAAATTGTATGTGAACAATGCCATGGATAACCGTGCCTTTGGGGGTAGGCCTTGGCTTACTCCCCCTTTTTGTTTATGTAAAACTTCTTTGAGGCTTTTGTGAGCTCTCTCAATAATTCCTTGACCTTGAGGATTGTATGGGATACCATGCTTTAATTGTCTGCCATTGATCTTAAGCAAAAGCATGGGCCTCTTGTCAAGAGTCATGTGGAGTACTGGAACCTCTTATGGAGGCTGGGGAGCAGCAGGAGCTGTGCTATCCTGTCCTCGACCACAAATACGATTTCCTTGAGCATCATAGACTGATCTGCAATCCTCTGCCTTATATGGGCCCTTTCTGCATCTCCCGCAGACGCCATACGATCCCTCGTTTTTGGGGCGAGGCCTGGCGCTTGTGTTATTCGGGCAGTCGCGTTTGATATGCCCTGGGTCCCCACAGCTGAAGCACCCCTTGGCCTTGCGCTCTTTCCTCGGCCCTCGAGGGCCCTTTTGTTGTACTGCCGCGGCTAGGAGGGCCGCAACTCCTGAATGGGAAAGTGGCCCCCCTATTTCTCTGCATATTCTGATCCAGGCGTTAAGGTCCTTATTCTTATGTGGGGCTATTGCTGCCTTACATTCCTTTGTGCATTGTTCGAAAATCAACTGCCTAACCAGCGGTTGAGCCACTTCCCTATCGGAAAAGATCTTATCGGCGGCATCTTGCATCCGAGCCACAAAATCAACGAATGGCTCTGTTGTGCCCTGGACTATTTTAGAAAGGCACAAGGATGCCGTTCCGGCACCACTCACCTGCTTCCAGGCGCGAAGCCCAATGGTATTGATCTGCTCATAAACTGCACCAGGGAACTGAGTCTGATTATCAGCGTGTTGGCCTTTCCCCATAAGCATGTCTCTATTCCACCCCCGGTTCCCTCGGTTAGCGTTTCTTTCCGCCTGTTCGGCAGCGAACTCGGCGTACCAGGCTCGCCAATCCAGGTAACTACCCGAGGGCAGACACGCCTTTGCCAGCTGAGTCCAGTCCGCGGGGGTGAGGGGCCCAGAAGACAGGTTCTCCAGCATGGCAATGGTGTAAGGCGCAGTTGGCCCAAAGGTTGTAACTGCATTTTTAAGTTCTCTAATCTGCTTTATCTCAAAAGGCTCCCATGCATTACGTCCCTGGCCCATAGCTACTTGTACAGGAAATATCCCGTAGGGGCCACTATCTATCCCAGGTGGTGGATGTACCTCATGAGACAAACGTCCCCCCTGCCAAAGCCGCCTGTAAAAATACCGACCCACCGGCGGCGGAGCATAAGACGGCGGCCGTGATTGGGCGGAAAATGGGGGCCCGTGCATCACTTCCTGTTCTGGCGAAGAGGAAGGGAGCTCCCGGGCGGCCGCCTCGTGGCAAGGGATCGCTTCCGGGAACAGCCCCCAAGGTGGGGCGGAAGGCTTCGCCTCCCTCTCGCGCCGGGGAGCGCTCAGGAGCTCTCTACTCCTCCGCAGACCAAGTTGAGCAGAGCGCAATTCACGGCGCAACGCTGGGAAAGAACCCTGCGACTCCTTATCGAGCGACTTAGGCTCCTGACAGCTGGTCTCTTTGGCCTCCTTGCCATTCAACTTTCCCTCGTCCTTGGAGTCAGACGACTCCGAGGCTAGAGCCCCGTCCTTCTCCTTAGCATCTTTGTTCCCCTTGACGGGCCCCTCTCGGGAGCTCCCCGACTGGGCCTGCTCAAATACCCTGCGTACTTTTGTAAGCTCTTGAGAGCTTTCTCCACAACCACCCTCGCTCTTAGTGTTGCTACCTAGCATGTTTCCCATCTTTTAATATGTTACTCACCGCGTGAGGCCCAAGGAATCCGCCACTTACGCGTGAGCCTGAGGGGAGTCTAAAAGCCCTGTAGGTGCGCGCCACCCAGAGCCCAGGTTTATCCTCTACTCACCTGTCTTGCAGCTCTGCGTTGGAGCGTTGTCCACTGCCACGTCTCGGGGGTGATCAGCTCCCCGTACGGGCCACCAGATGTCGGTGTCACTCCCGGCCGGCAGGAAGGACACACAACAAAGTCTGGCAGTGGACAACCTTTTCTTTTACTTTCCTTCTCCGTACAGCCTGCCCTGGGATCGCTCCCAGCCGAAGCCTCTGTTGGTCCGCTCCCCGCGGCTCCTTCCGTGCTTCGCTCCGAAGCCTCTACCGGTCCGCTCTCCGAGGCTCCTTCTGGGCTTCTACTTCCAGTCTGTCCCGAAGCCTCTGCCGGTCCGCTCTCCGCGGCTCCTTGCGTGCTTCTTCTGCTTCTTCTTTCATGGCGGGAGAGGCACTCACTTTTATAGGGTTACAGTGGCCAATCAGTTCAAAGCGCGCGATGCGGGCTGATTGGCTAACATCAGTTGTTGCTAGGCAGACTATCTTACAGGGCGGGTTGTGAAGCAGGAGATCTTACAGGGCGGGTTGTTTACCAAGCAGGAAGCAGGAGATCTTACAGGGCGGGTTGTTTACCAAGCAGGAAGCAGGAGATAAGCGCCATCTTAGCACACTCGATGGGAGGGGTAATCTAGCTCAGGCTTTGCTCTTTCCTACAGGCCTCACGTCCGCCAAGTAAGGCGACCGGGCTTGGCCGCGGCTCCCAACAACTCAGAGTTCACACTGGTGTCAGAAATACACAGTGATGACACCAAGTCTAAGGGCAGGCCGGGTACTGAGGTGGG